ACGCTGCCACTAAGACCCAGCAGAGCCAAATAAATAAATAAGTACTTAAAAATAAATAAATCAAGCTTAGGCACAGCTGAGACTTCTCAAGTGCATTTCTTCACATACAGTTCCTTGTGTAATGTTCCTCTCAATCTTGCAAAGTAGACAGAACTTACCTGCCCTCTGCCTGTGCAGCTCACCCTCGTGGGACAGCAGGGAATAACCTCTGTAGATGCTCCCACTCAAAAGGGGGTCAGACGAGATGCACAGCCATGCTAAAACCCAGCCCTGCACATGGCGCTGGGTCCTTGATTAGGTCTCAGGCCCGTGTCTCTAGAAACAATTCCTGACAGCTCTTTATTCTGCCCTCTCAGCCTGTAATTCTTCCCTGGGATTAAAATGTAGTCCGTGTTTGCAGCTGAGTGGCTTTCCCATCCTGCTTCTTGCTTGTGGGTCCAGAGGTCTCTTTATAATGTTTCTACCCTTTTCTGTCCCCGTTGATGTTATCTTCTGCTGCCACACTTTTCTTGAAAGCTTTGTGGGTTTCCTATGAATAATACTGAGGTCTATTTGGTAGGAAAGTAGTAAAATATTTAAACAGAAAATTTCACAGAAAAAAAAAATACATATGGCCTTCAAATATGTGAAAGAAAGCTTACCCTTGCTCAAAGTAAGAGAGATGCAGATTGCAATTCAATAAGTCAGCAGGCAGGGGGGGCTTCCATGGTGCTAGTCATGTTTTCTATTTCTTCATCAGTATGCTAGTCATGAGGATGTGCTCATTTTGTGAAAATTCACCATCTCCGCGTTTCTGATAGGTACACCTTCTGTATATACATTATATGTAAACAGGATAACAAGCAAACTGCATGGAAATACCATATTTCACTTACAGATAGGCAAACATCCCAAAGACAGACAATACGTCCCGTCGAGAAGGCAGTGGGGACACAGGCCTGCTTATCCAGTGCTGTGGAGCTGCCAGCTGCCAACATGCCCAGGGGTGTTTCACAATGTCTGGGAAAATTAGGTATGCCTTCTTGCTTTGGTCTGGCAGCCCCATCTCTAGGAATGGACGTCAAAGATAGGCTGGCATCATTACAGAATGACAGCATGCACATGGCTGCTTACTGCTGCCTGATTTGAAATATCAAGAGATGGTAAAAAACCCAGATGTCTGTCAGTAGGAGTTGGTTGCTGTTCCTTGCACACAAAGCGTCACCCCCTAGCTGCAAAAGGGGTGTGAAAGGTCTGTATCCCCCTGGAGGATTGGTACCCAGAACCCTGAGCTATGGAACGGTGTTGAAGAGAGAGACCCGGTAAAACAGTTTATGGATTCACCTAGAGTTTCAAAAAGAAACAAGTGAAGTATAAATAAAACTAATAAAAAAATGCTTACCTTTGGGGAGAGGGGGATTAGGGTGGAGGGAACCAAAATGAATCTCTACTTTGGAAACATGCAATGTTTTACATAATTTTAAAATTTGAAAAGCACCTTTAAAACAATACAAAAGGAAGCAAATGAACCTAAGAATCCTATAGCAAGTTTGTGAAGTTTAGACTGAGGGTGAGTAGTGAGTATAAACTGTGTCATCCTAAATGGGGCACTTTGAGGGTTTGAAAAGGGGTGATTTTAATAATTATTCCCAGACAACAGGTGTAAACTGGACTGACCTGGGCCCATCAGGGCCCATGACTACCCTAGTCATGGTTGGATGCTCTCAGGAATTACTCTTATTTCTGTTAGGTCCAGTGATATCACTTAGAAATGCATATCAAAGTGTTTACAGGTGACACGATCTAATGTGTGGGATTTGCTTGCAAACATAGCTTCTCAAGGGCTTCTCAGGTGGCTCAGTGGTAAAGGATTCGCCTGTTAATGCAGAATATTAGGGTTCACTCTCTGGGTCCAGAAAATACCCTGGAGAAGGGCATAGCAACCCACTTCAGTATTCTTGCCTGGAGAATCCCGTGGACAGAGCAGCCTGGGAGGTTACCCTCCATGGGGTCATACAGAGTTGGACACAAGTGAGCGACTGAGCGTGGGGCATGATTATTTCTCAGAGCGAGAGTGCATCAGAGTCACCCAGAGAATGTGGGAAGCCCAGAGTACTGACCCTCACCACAAAGACTGAGCCAGTGGGTCTGCAGTGAAAAACTGCATCTCCACCAGAGTGCGGAATAAGCTGGCATTGTTGGGCTTTAGCCTTCTTTTTCTTGTAGCAACATTGTAAAACATTTCGGTTCAGCTACTGTGTAGGTCTCCCCACCAGGAATTCTGTATCTACACACACAAACACATCAGCTGCTCATCCTGCCTGTCCCTGTGAGGCTAGGTGCGTGTGTGTGTGAGTGTGTGAGAGTGTGTGTGAGTGTGTATGTGTGTGTGTTAGCGGGTGAGGGCTGCAGTGAGATCACTGTTGAAGACAGGCCGTGAGTCTGTGAAGTTATTTTACGTTCTCTCCACCTTTGTGTATATTTGAGAATTTCCTTAATTATACATTTATGAATGTTTGTCAATTCAGGAGATCTATGTCCAACTCAAATGGAACCTCCTATGTTACTTTGATTCCTTTAATCAGATCACACTGATTTTTGTTATTATTATAAGAATCATGTTTATACTTCTGCCAAAGCAAAGTCCAATAAAAATGAAACACATTTAAAAAGTTTACCCTAAATGCTATCATCTGTGATCCACATTTTATGATTTTAAGTACAATTGTGACTCAGTGCAGTAAAGAAACTACAGAATTTGATCACACTGTGAATTTGAAAATAGGTTTAGAAAGTCATTGTCATATTTTTCTTTAATGCAGAAGAAGCTCTTCTAATCATGCTCCTTTTTGCTTTGTCTCTGTCACAAATTTTCCTCAAGTTTTCGCTTCCTTTTCTGACGCTCTACCTTTTCTTTTCTCCTTTTTGTTCACCCTCTTCTGTCTCCATTGTCTTTTCCTTCATCCTTTCTGCCTTTCTAAAGGCATTTTAAATATTTTTATTTTTAGGTAAGGTCCTGTACCATTTGGTCTTCATTTGCAAAGTGATTAGGTTATTTTGTATTTTTCCCTTAAAAACTGAATTGCTATGAGATTCATATAAGATCTTTAAAAACAAACAAACAAACAAACCTTTTATTTTGTATTGGAGTATTTGATTGGAGTATTGATCCACAATGTTGTGATAGTTTCAGGTGGATAGCAAAAGGACTCAGCCCTACATACACATGTATCTGTTCTCTCCCAAACTCCCCTCCCATCCAAGCTGTCCCCTAACACGAGCAGAGTTCCCCGTGCAATACAGTAGGTCTGTGTTGGTTACATGAGGTCTTTAGTTGGCTTCTTTTAAAACACCTGAGTATAGGCAGTAGATCTTCATAGGAAAAAAACGAACAAACACACACCGTTGTGGTGACAGACCGCACCTTCTGGCCTCTGTAAGCGGTCTGGTTTCTTCCTGCATATGCTCCTGGGAAGCCTGTGGTCTGACTGGAACGTGGACTTTTGCACTAAACTCCGAAAGGCCCACACAAGGCAGGCTTCCCTGCCTGCTCCCTGAATCCTGTGATCTGGTTCAGTAAGGGAAGATGCTGCAGCATTTCATATTTCTCCTTTACAAACTTCGTATTTTGTATCAGTTACAGAAGGACAGACTGTGACTCACACAGTTGTGCGGCGTGTGCCACGTGTTCTTCAAGTGCGCTCGTGAGTGACGTGGACTCACCCGGTTCTTTGGGCTGAAACAGCCGCCAAAGCTGGCAATACAGATGCTGAGAGATCTGTGTAGGAGATGATGGCAAACATGAAGGCCCTCTAAGGCTCCAGGCAATCCTGGAGTGGATTACCATGCCCTCCTCCAGGGGATCTTCCTGACTCAGGGATCAAACCCAGGTCTCTTCTCTCTCCTGCGTTGGCAGGCGGATTCTTTACCACTAATGCCTCATGGGCAGCCCATTAAATGTATGTGGTATGTCAATTACATCTTGATGAAACTGCAAAAGTTAAAAAGAAGTCTCTTAGGGTCTTTGGACTAAAAGTCAGAAGGTTAAGAAAGGGAATAGGGAATTATTTAATGCAACATACAATTTGGAAATAAGAAAGCAAGACATTCAAAAGAAGTTAGTAATTTAATTGCCAGGGCAACTCTTTTATGACAGAACTAAAGGAAGACATAGGAAAGTGCTTTCTTCCTTAGGGCTAGCAGAAGAAAAAAAAGAAAGAAAGAAAAAATCATGGCTAGCTATAAGGAAGAGAACACTCAGGAAGAAAAATAACTGTCTCCTAGAATTTAGATTCCTGGGATAGTTAGGAAACAGATACTGTCCTCACAATTAGAATAAGGAAGTAATTAAAAGCATGACAGCTAAAACAATAAGCTTTCTTGTCAAGTGAGGTTATTCTGTGTGTATAATGTGTCTTAGGTAATTTCTGACTTTAAGAAAAGCCTGAGTCTTATCCTAACATCAGAAGTGTTGAACTTGAATTCTAGTTCACTTACTACAAAAATATACCTGGATATTCGAGATATTCAAGTTTCTTAAAATCTTGCTCTGTATCAGCTTATGTTGATTATGCCTGAGTTAGTAAACAGCTTTTCCTCTTTCAGTATATTTTTGGTAAAGAAGAATTGGCTGACTTGTGATTGAGTGTATTACTTCTTAGCTAAGAAGTAAACCCAGCTCACCTGTGGACCCAAACTTAAACACTGCTCTTTGTCTGGTGGAAATACTAGGCTAGTATTGGTGTACTCAACTCTTCTGGGATAATGTACATTTTAGGCTTAACATTTTATAGAGGATAGTCACACGTGTTGTGTCAGTGTCTACATGGTCAGCTGAATACTTCCTTTCTTTTTTAAAAAAGATTTGTTTGGCTGTAGGTCTCAGTTGCAGCACGTGGTCTCTTTCCTTGCAGCTTGCCGGCTTCTCTCTGGTTGTGGGGCTTAGTAGCCCCGTGGCGTGTGGGATCTTAGTTCCCGGACCAGGGATCGAACCCACATCCCCTGCATTGGAAAGTGGATTCCTAATCACTGGACCGCTCAGGAAGCCCCTGGATATTTCCTATTTCTAATAAAGCCCTAGCTTCTGGGAGCTTGCTGTTTTCTGCGTGGGGTGGAAAGTGCCAGAAAGCTGTCACCGGGGGCTCTGCTGACACTATTTCCAGGGGCTCGAGACTGAGCTTGGCGGTGTTTTCCTCTTGCCTGGGCATAAGCCAGGAACCAGAGCCTCGAAGGAGCTGGAACTGTGGCCCCGCACCTTCCGAGCTGAGCCCGCAGGCCAGGGACACCTGGGGGGGGGGGGCCGCGATGAGGCTCCTCCTCCGCAGTTCTTGCTGAAAAAGTCCAAGAAGGAAGACAATCATCACCTCGCCTGGGGGATGTCCCTTCGTCCCTGTGAGAGCGGCTGAGACAAACACGCCCTGTGTTCGGGCCTAAGGCCACAGTCAGCTCATTTCTCCTCCAGAAAAAGTGGTGGTTGTGAATATCACTCTGCCACTACCTGCCCTTCTCGCTTTAAGCCCCATTTTACCAGGAAATGCGGTGATTGAAGGAAGAAGCGTTAGATAGATAGCGTTAGATAAACCTTTTCTTTTCTAAATTTTGGTCTCTAGGAATCAGCTTGCGTAGCATCTCTGGGGCTTGTTGGGTAAACTCAGTTTCCTCCTCTTCCTGCCCCCATGAGCATGAGAAACCTGCTCCCTGGGCTACTCAGAAGTTATCAATGAAAATAATCAATAAACAATCAAGAATAGGACCAGAAAAGAGTTTTACTTGAGCCAAACTGCGGACTAGCCCAGAAGCCCACTTCCCGCGGCTGCTCAGTTTTATACCTTTGTCAGAACAAAGAACATTAAACAAGACAGGGATACAGTTCTTCAAGGTAAAAACAAGACAAAAGCAAGCAAAAAACAGCAAAACAAAAACACCCCACACTGACCAGCACATCACAGGGAGTCGGCGTGGCCTCGGCACCTGGGAAGGGAGCCTTGCCCCCCAAGGAGGATCAGCCCTGGTGTCCCGGGAAAAGATACATTTAATTTTCATTTTTAACGAGGGCATTCTTCACTTCTGCTCATGTGCCCTTTTCTCTAATAATTAAAACAGGGGTACAGTGTACGTCTGCTAGGCCGCACACAGGCCGTCTTAGGTCGCACAACAGTCGCGGTAACTCATGGACAAGCCAGAGTGAGTCCCCGCCTCTCAACTCTCGGACATTTCTTTTTGCAGCAGCTGGGGGGCCTCTGTGTATCTCCAGGTCCCTCTTGTCCACGCCCCAAGTCCGTCTCAGTCTCCCTCCTACTTTAGAGGAGAAGGAATTCTTCACGTCCCTCCAAAGCCGTCTGTTCCCATTCTTGCTCACGGTCTCTCCCGTCTCCCACCTTCCCTGGGGACTTGTTGCAGCAGCTCCCTGCTCTGTCTGTGTCTTCCATTCATTCATTCCTCTCCACCCCCCACGCCTATAAACGTGTACACGCCCTCCCCACGTCACGCTTTCGGTTGCTTCCTTCCCGCGTGTCCCCCTTGTTTCACTGAGGGGGTCCCTCCCTCGGCTGTGCTTCCTGACTGCTGGAATCCTGGTTTCTGTCCTCACCACGTGATTGAACTGTCACAGCAGAGACCACCTGTGACCTCAAATCCAATGTCCTCCTAAGCGGTCACCTTCCTGGGCCCCTCGACAGCCCTCTCTTCTCAAACCTTCCCCCCCCACCTGGGGTTCTTTGGTCTCCTACCTCTCTGCTCCCAACCAGGCGTTACCATGGTTTTTTGCTGGGTCCATTCTCATCATGGGGGCGGCGATGGGCTGGTTCATAGGCTCCAGCTGTGCTCCCTACAGTGACACATCCAGGCCTGGTCGTCCTTTGGTTCTATTTCTCTCTTCCTCCCTAGGGGATGGTAGACCTAAGAAGCCTTCCAAATAGCTGACACTCACACTCAGAAGCTGCCACTTCTGTGTCCCGGCCTGCCTTGCCCTCGTGAAGGAAGGAAGCTGCTGTTAGTGAGAAAGGCCTGGGTCGTTCTCTGCCCAGCACTGGCTATTGACAAGAGTCAGAACAAAAGGCTATTTTATGAGGGTGTGTTAAAAACCAGGTCGGCTCTTGCTTCTGGCCCTTAGGTTTCTGGAAATGAACACACAGTACCGCCATATGCACCTGCTTGGGTACATCCTGGCTCCCGTGGGGTTGAGGTCCACACTCCTCCCTGCATAAAACAGTTTTGAGGCACGAGTGCACATTTTTATTTGGGAACAGTGGTCCTTGCTACAAGGCACGGGACACCCCTTCACACGGCTCTGAGAACCGTCTCCTGCTGCAGCCCTTCCGTGGGCCTGGGGATGGCCTCCGAAAGGCCAAGGCTGCAGAGTCGGGCCGTTCATGCTGCGGGTCCTGGGTGAGGGCTGTCATTACTTGCTCATTTCTCATTTCAGCAAAGCCTTCCTTCCTCTTCTACTTTTTTTCCCCCTTTCCTCCCTTACTTCCTTCTTGCTCATGGGCTATTTTATTGGAAAATGCAAATAACCCCTAAAAAATTGCATTTCTCATCTCTCTTCTGAAGAACAGAGGGCACAGTTGTGCAAATGCTGAGGTAAAGTAGCAAAGAAGCCCAAAGTGAGATGTGAGCTTTGCGCTTTCCCAGAGGAAGAAGAAAGCAGAGAAGCTATCAGGGACGCACTGGGATCCCAAGGCCCTTCCTGCCTTGACGTTTCCAGGTAACCGCAGACAGCACACCTGGCCCCCAGGGAGGTGGCCGAGCGTTTCAGAGCCTCAAAACTCACTCATGTGGCGCTGACCCCACGTCTTAGTAAAGTTTATTTCCAGCACTTGTTAAAATCCCGATGTACTTGTTTTTGAAGGAAGTAAAAATACTGATTTTATCCATCTCCAAACAGTCCTTTATGTTCACACTACCTTCCGTGATGGCTCAGATGCTAAGGAATCTGCCTGCGATGAAACAGACCTGGATTCAGTCCCTGGATTGGAAAGATCCCCTGGAGAAGGAAATGGCAACCCACTCCAGCATTCTTGCCTGGAGAATCCCAAGGACAGAGGAGCCTGGCGGAATACAGTCCATGGGGTTGAACAGAGTTGGACACGACTGAGTGACACTTTCACTTTCAAACAGTCCTTTGGTTTTCTTTTCTTTTAGAATTAATTTTTAGAAGAATGTGAACACCGGATAATTTTCCTAGGAGTGCTTAGCCACAGTCACACTGTGAGGTTGGAAACGTTTATCAGAAGACTCCTCCTTTTCTTTACCTTATTTTCCACTTTCGCATATTCTAGAGTTTCAAAGGTTTACCCTGGAATAAAACATGGCTTTAATTCAAAATGGAGGTGACCTGGAGGGGAAGAGGCTGATGACATATTACATCATTATTCTTCTTGCAGTCTCCCAAATATCCCAACCATTTTTATCCAAACAAAAAACTGCAGAATTCCCTGGCAGTCCACTGGTTAGGACTGAAGAACTGATGCTTTCGAACTGTGGTGCTGTAGAAAACTCTGGAGTGTCCCTTGGACAGCAAGGAAATCAAACCAGTCCATCCTAAAGGAAATCAACCCTGAATATTCATTGGAAGGACTACTGCTGAAGGTCCAATACTTTGGCCACCTGATGCGAAGAGCCAACACATTAGAAAAGACCCTGATGTTGGGAAAGATTGAGGGCAAGAGGAGAAGGGGGCGATAGTTGGGTGGCATCACCAACTCAATGGATATGAGTTTGAGGAAGTTCTGGGAGACAGTGAAGGACAGAGAAGCCTGGGCTGCTATAATCTGTGGGATTGCAAAGAATTGGACGCAACTGAGGAATTAAACAACAACCACCACCACCATAGTTAGAACTCGGTGCCTTCACTGGAAAGGGCCCGAGTTTGATCCGTGGTCAGGGAACCGAGATTCCACAAGCCATGAAGCCCGCCAGAACAAAAGCAAAAACCTTGGGTTTGTTCCTGTGTTGAGTTTCGCTTCGTGTTTCTTTTTAGAGTCAGAGCCCTCACCAGTCACCGCTCAGGACAACAAAGCGCTGTCCAGCACCTGAAACCTCAGGACCCCCATCCTTTAGGACAATGCACAACATCGGCAACTCGGCTGCAAGCGTTTTTGGGGGGATCTAACATCTCTGCAGAAGCTGAAGGGCAAACCGCAGGAAATCCATGGTTTCAGAATTCCATGTTCAGGGGAGTGAGTCCAGGATTTATGTTTTAGACACAAGTGGACACAGATAATCTCAAAACTATCTCTCTTGCTGAATAGCTGGTATGAGAACACACCCCAAAACGTGCAATTCCGTGGTTGCCCTTTGCTTAGTTTATAATGGTGTCACGGTAGTCTGTAACAGTGACCAGGTTTTTCTTAAACTCTGCCTTCTGTCAGGATCCGCTGCAAGGGTGGGCTGCACCTCCAGGGCGTCCGAGTCAGGGGTTCTGGGGACTCCCGAGAATCTGCATTGCTAACTTGTTCCAGTTCCCGGGTGGTACTGATGCTGCTTGTAGGGGGTCTGTGCTTTGAGAACCACTGCTTGAAATACCGTGTTAACAGTGTGATAATTATGCAGGGGCATTGAAATCTGCTTTATCTCACTCTGCGTATGTAAGAAAAGGGCTTCCCCCAAGGGGCAGTGGTAAAGTATCCGCCTGCCAATGCAGGAGATGCAGGAGACGGGGGTTCAATCCTTGGGTTGGGAAGATCCCCTGGAAGAGGAAATGGCAAGCTGCTCCAGTACTCTTGCCTGGAGAATCCCATGGACAGAGGAGCCTGGAGAGCTACAGTCCACGGGGTCACAAAGAGTCAGACACGACTGAACGCTCACACACACGAACACACACACGAACACACACACATGCAAGAAAAATGGAAACATTACCGTGGACTTAAGTTTTTGAGGAGGAACACCGATTAAGAAAGGTTTTACATTTTACTTTTAAAGGTCATGTATTGACTTATTTTTGGCTCTGCTGGGCCTTCTTTGCGTCATGTGGGCTTTCTCCAGTTGTGGCGAGTGGGGGCTGCCCTCTAGGGCTCGAGGTTTTCCTTGCGTGGCTTCTCTTCCTAGGGAGCACAGGCTCTGAAGCGTGGGTTCAGTAGTTGCAGCCGGGGTTCAGTTGCCTCGAGGCACGTGGGATCGTCCCCGACCAGGGATCGAACCTGTGTCCCCTGCCCTGGTGGGTGGATTCCTAACCACTGGACCACCAGGCAAGTCTGAAAAGTTATATTTTTAAAAGCCTGCTATCTCCTGTAACCTCAGAAGTGTAACACAGCACATACAGAATGCCTGGGACAAAGAAGCCGAATCTTCTCAGCGGTTCGCTGCTATGGGTCGTCTCTCTCTGGTTTTGCCTTTGCAAACAGACCGAAAGGTTTGGTGTCAGACCGTTGCTGTTAAGGCTGGATCCATTTACATAGAAAACCTGTCCAATCAGCAGTGCTGTAGAGCTATTTGACATGATGGTATTTAATTAACTGTCTTCCACCGCCTCCCAAGATTAAATCACTACCTCCTCTTGCAGCCAAAGGAGAGGGTATTACGTGTTGTTCCCTGGAAATTCCACCAATGCCACCTTCCCTGGAAATGCCACCTTCCCTGGAAATTCCACCTTCCCTGGAAATGCCACCTTCCCTCCCTGGAAATGCCACCTTCCCTGGAAATGCCACCTTCCCTGGAAATGCCACCTTCCCTGGAAATGCCACCTTCCTTCCCTGGAAATGCCACCTTCCCTGGAAATGCCACCTTCCCTGGAAATGCCACCTTCCTTCCCTGGAAATGCCACCTTCCCTGGAAATGCCACCTTCCCTGGAAATGCCACCTTCCCTGGAAATTCCATCTTCCCTGGAAATGCCACCTTCCCTGGAAATTCCACCTTCCCTGGAAATGCCACCTTCCCTGGAAATTCCACCTTCCCTGGAAATGCCGCCTTCCCTGGAAATGCCGCCTTCCCTGGAAATGCCGCCTTCCCTGGAAACGCCGCCTTCCCTGGAAATTCCACCTTCCCTGGAAATGCCACCTTCCCTGGAAATGCCGCCTTCCCTGGAAATGCCGCCTTCCCTGGAAATTCCACCTTCCCTGGAAATGCCACCTTCCCTGGAAATGCCGCCTTCCCTGGAAATGCCACCTTCCCTGGAAATGCCACCTTCCCTGGAAACGCCACCTTCCCTGGAAATTCCACCTTCCCTGGAAATGCCACCTTCCCTGGAAATGCCACCTTCCCTGGAAATTCCACCTTCCCTGGAAATGCCACCTTCCCTGGAAATGCCACCTTCCTTCCCTGGAAATGCCACCTTCCCTGGAAATTCCACCTTCCCTGGAAATGCCACCTTCCCTGGAAATTCCACCTTCCCTGGAAATGCCACCTTCCCTGGAAATGCCACCTTCCCTGGAAATTCCACCTTCCCTGGAAATGCCACCTTCCCTGGAAATGCCACCTTCCCTGGAAATGCCGCCTTCCCTGGAAATGCCGCCTTCCCTGGAAATTCCACCTTCCCTGGAAATTCCGCCTTCCCTGGAAATGCCGCCTTCCCTGGAAATGCCGCCTTCCCTGGAAATTCCACCTTCCCTGGAAATGCCGCCTTCCCTGGAAATGCCACCTTCCCTGGAAATGCCACCTTCCCTGGAAATTCCACCTTCCCTGGAAATGCCACCTTCCCTGGAAATTCAAACCCAACCCAAGATTCCAGGCATCACCATTCAAGGAAATGGTACCAGAGAACCCGGGATGGACTTTTCTTGGTTTGGGCTTACTTTTTTGTTCTTTTTAGTTTTAGTTACATGTGGCTTTTGTAGACTCCTCACAGCACCAGTTTTCTCCTTTAATAACCTCCACGTGGTTTAACTTTTTAAAGCCGAGTGTCAAAAGCGGTGGAAGATGGTAGAGCTGTTCAAGCCCAGCCCAGACACTAAGGAAGTGAACCAAGACCCCAGAGCTGAGCGCTGGGGCTGCGGGCGCCCTCTGGGAGCGGAGGACGAGGGCAGGTCTGGGACCGCGCTCCGGGGTACCCTGAGTCTGCAGGGGCCGGGAGGAGGATGAGAGGGGCTGAGTGTCCACGCACACAGCGGAAACAGCCGCCGATGCGGCCGAGTCCTTTCCTTTCCGAGCGCGTGGGGTCCTGCGTCCCGAGTCAAGAGCAGCTGCAGCCCTCCTGCTGGCCCTGGGTCTGTGTTAGCAGAGTCGGCTTCGGGCAACGAATCAGCAACATCCCGTCGGTTCCGAGACTCAGGGGTGTTCTTTCTAGGCCTACGTCCCCTCCCCTCCCAGGGGAGCTGCGTGGACAGGGAGCGCCTGCCGCCAGACGGAGCGGAGAAGGCAGAGGACGTCGCCCGCTCACAGGCTCGTCATGCTGGGCTCTTGCTCTCTCCCCTAACTCTTCCTCTTCCAGCAGATTAAGTGGCCAATTTTACACCGATTATGCCAGCTGCCCGTGACTTAGCATCGTGTGCGTGCATGCTAAGTCGCTTCAGTGGTGTCCGACTCTTTGTGACCCCATGGACCGTAGCCCACCAGGCTCCTCCGTCCATGGGGTTCTTCAGCAAGAATACTAGACTGCGCTGCCCTGCCCGCTGCTAGGGGATCTTTCCGACCCACGGATCGAACCCACGTCTCTTATGTCTCCTTCATTGGCAGGTTCTTTATCCCTAGTGCCACCTGGGAATTCCGACTAGAATAGACCTATGCTCAGTTATGTTGTCCACGTTATTCATCCTCAGAGGTTATTTGTTTGGTTTCATTTTTTTCTTTACTCTGTTTCCTCAGTCTCAAAACAAAGACTCCTCTGGTTCCCAGCAGACTCTCGGGTCACTTTCTTTATTGCCCAACGTTATTGCTCAAATAATGTAGCTCAATACTAGCCTCTCCAGAATCGAACTTACAAAATAAATGACCAGCAAGCATTTTATGCAAAAGCCAATATATATATATGACTTTTAATATTATCTGTGATTTTAGCTTATGAGTGACTGATCTCTACAATAATAGTAGATATTGCCTCATTTTTAGTAGGCACTAAATTATTGATTGTCTCTCTGTCTTACTAGTTTAATGATACAGAAACTTAAAGATTATGAGTGTATTTTTATAACTGTCCTCAACCCAGTGCTTTATTTGGTAAACCATTCATTGTTGGTTTAGACGGTAAAGAATCCACGTGCAATTTGGGAGACCCAGGTTCAATTCCTGGTTCAGGAACATCCCCTAGAGAAAGGAATGGCTCCTCACTCCGATATTTTTGCCTGGAGAATTCCATGGACAGAGGAGCCTGGTGGGCTACAGTTCACGGGGATGCAAAGAGTTGGCCATGACTGAGTGACCAACACTTTCACTTTATTGTAACAAATTTTTTTTTTAATTTAAAATGTATTGCACAGATTCATTAACTTCAGAGTAGCTGGGCAGGGAATTCTCTGATACAAATGTAATTTATGTTTACATTACATCATATTAATACTGTAGTCTACATCAAAGCCTAGGATTATTGTATGAAGATTCCAAGTAAACATGTGCTGGTACTGCAATTAACATTTAAGAACAGTCAATTGGTGACTCATTTATCTTTTTTACCCAAAAAAGTTTTTTCTTCAGTTAAAAACAAATTTTAAAAATTGAAGTATAGTTGATGTACAATTTAAATAAGTTACAAGGGTACAGCATAGTGATTCACAATTTTATTTATCTATTTATTTTTTATTTATTTATTTTTTTCACAATTTTAAAAGATTGTCAGTCACTCAGTCACGTTCGACTCTCTGTGACCCCATGGACAGTAGTCCGCCAGGCTCCTCTGTCCATGGGATTCTCCAGGCAAGAACACTGGAGTGGGTTGCCATGCCCTTCTCAGTAGGAGCTTCCCAACCAAGGAACTGAACCTGGGTCTCCTGCTTTGAAGGAGGATTCTTTTAATGTAAGGGAAGCCCACTCATTTTATAGCTATTATAAAATATTTCCTGTGTTGTGCACTATATCCTTGTAACATATCTATTTTATATGTAATAGTTTATCCCTCTTAATCTTCTACCTCTACCTACCCCGCTCCCCTCTCCCCACGGGTAACAACTAGTCTGCTCTCTGTATCTGTGATCTGGTTTCTTTTTTTTATGATATTTACTAGTTTGTTTTATTTTTTTGATTCCACATATAGGTGATACCATACAGTATTTTTCTTCCTCTATCTGACTTATCTCACTTAGCAAAGCCTTCCAAGTCTATCCATGTTGTTGCAAATGGCAACATTTTATTGCTTTTTATGGCTAGCTGAATATTATTCCATTGTGAGTATGTGTATATATTTAACTCTATCTCACACCTTCTTTATCCGTTCATCTGTTGAGTACTTAGGTTGCCTTCATATCTTGGCTATCATAAATAACACTGCTATGAACATTGGGTTGCATGTATCTTTTTGAATTACTGTTTTGATTTTTTTCAGATATATACCCAAGTGGTAGAATTGCCGAGTCAGGTCATAGTTCTATTAATATTTTTAATTTTTTGAGAAATACTGTTTTTGTACCAATTTATAGTCCCACCCATAGTGTATGAGGGTTCCCTACCCTCACATCCTCACCAATGTTTATTGTGCTCTTTTAAAAAAATATATATTGAATTCATTTATTTATGGCTGTTCTGGGCCTTCGCTGCTGTGGGTGGGCTTTCTCTAGGTGGGGCAACTGGGGACTTCTCTCTCGCTGTGGTGATTTCTCTTGTTGTGGACACAGAACTCTAGGTGCAAGGGCTTGGGAGTTGTGGTGCGTTGTGTTAAGTCGCTTCAGTTGGGTCTGACTCTTTGTGACCCCCTGGATTTCTGCATGGTTCCTCTGTCCATGGGATTCTCTAGGCAAGAATACTGCAGCGGTTTGCCATGTCCTTCTCTGGGGATCTTCCCGACCCAGAGATCAAACCCACGTCTCATGTCTCCTGTGTTGGCAGGCGGACCATCAGGGAAGTCCCTATTAGTGTTCTTTTAGATCATGGCCATTCTGACAGGGGTGAGGTGATGTCTCATTGCGATTTTAATTTGCATTTCTCTAACGATTAACAATGTTGAACATCTTTTCACATGCCTGTTGGCCATCTGCCTATCCTCTTTGGAGAAATGTCTCTTCAGGTCCTTTGCCCATATTTTAATTGGGTTCTTTGTTTTTGTTTTTTTTATGTTGAGTTGTATGAACAGTTTAAATATATAACAAAATTTCTTGAGCATGACAAAAGGATAAAATATTTTATTTACAAGCTCCAGAAGCTATAGTTTTTAGTTATTTAAAAGCAATGTCATTTGAGAGTGCTAAAACTAAAGACCAGTAAGTGAATCAAGATTAAAACAGAAATAACACGAATTCAATCTATTAACACTCTGTTAATGAATAGCTAATACCACTAGACTCATATATTTGGGCTTGAGGTTAAAAAAAGTCAAGTCAGGAAGTTCTCTTTCTTTCTTAAGCATTCACATTTGTAACCACATAAATATCCCATAACAAATTCCATTTACCTCCACACAGTTTACAACCTTGTTCTGACCTGACTTCACACCAAAATAGTGACCTTGAAGGAGGGATTGCTCAGGATGGAGACCCAGCGCGAAGCTCTAGCCTGTCCTGACAAGGACGCTGCGAAAACCCTGGGCAGCGAAAAGTCGCTCCTGAGGCTCCCTGGGTGCCAGGGGGCCTCCCTGGGCTGCTTAGCTGTGCGTGGTACCCCCACCCCACCCCACGCTCGAGAAAGACTGCCCTTGCACCCTCATGGAAGAGGGGATCTGAGTTAGGCTCAGAGATGCAGACCAAGACTCTCTGGGGAAAGATCCCTAAGCCTTAAGAACTCCCCGAGGTGAAGGAGGACAGTGTCAGACAGCCTGGGATTTTTCCAGAAGAGATGTTTTGGAGAAGGGCTCCAGGTGAGGACCAGGGGCCAAGCTAGCTCAGATCCTGCCAGCGACACGTGGAAGACACTGCCGGTCCTGTCAGCCTCTCAGGGTGGTGGTTTGTGACCTTTATAAGTTTGAGTGTGACTTGTCGGAATGAGATGCCGTGGTGTGATGCATCAATACATGTTTCCAGTAGGAGGAGACATCTCATGAGATGGGCGTGAGGTCCCGAGTTGTTGGGGATTAGACCTGCGCTGTTGGGGATTCGAATCCGAGTTGCTGAGCAACCAATATGACTCATCCATCAAGAAAAAAATCTGGGGCCCATTGGTTTGATGGCCAAAAAGGGAAAGGTAGAAAGTTTTGTTTTTTTTTTCTGGGCTCTAGGGTAGGGAGAGACTGTGAGGCAGGCTGATGATCAGTGAGGGACTGGGAAGGTAGTGAAGAAAGTTAACCCTCCAAAACATTTACATTCTGTGTTTATTTCAGGGAGATGGAGACTGTGATGCTGAGAAATGAGGGTGGAAAGGAAAGAGCAGATTTTGTGCACTCTTTACTAGAGAACGCTGCACACACAAGAGCTATGCTGGCTCTTAAAAAGGAAGAGAGGCCTAGACTCTTGTCTTCTCCAGCACCACAATTCAAAGGCACACAGCCTTCTTTATGGTTTTAAGTGGGGCCAGCATATAACTTATGGACCAGTCAGAACACTTCTGGGGCCACGACCAGTGACCTCACTGGACAACAAGTCCTGGACCAACTGCCCTGCATGATTAAAGGCTTAAAATCTTCATTTTCAGCAAATTAGTAGCCTCTGGTGAGTTTGCAGCCGGAGTCACAAATCGGTTTATTAATTACAGATGTTCAAGGAGTTTGAGTGTGTGATACAAACCCTTCAGGCCTTTTTGTTAAAACAGTCAATTAGAGAAATGCATACTGAGTGACCTTTAAAGTAAGGGTTTCTTGTTGCAAAAATCACGTGGACAGGGTTACAAAAGCAGAGACTCTGACTACTGGGGAAAGAGCTTTGGAAACCCGAGGCCCCGCAATGCCTGGCTGGGAAGTTCTGGACCGCTTCTGGGAAGTTCTCTGCTGTCCACAGACATAGTGAAGCTGAGGCACTTACGGGTGTTTGTCATTCGTGGCCGCGTCTTCCATTCCGTCTAAGTCTCGAAGTGTTTTAATTATTCAACTGCCTGAGGAGCTAGCGTTTGGACGAGAAAAGTAGAACCAAAAATGCATTTTTCAAATACTAAGGAGTATGCAGAGCCCTTTTGGATCCACTTAGTGGGGAAGGATTGAAACTTCATGTTCATACAGCACCGTGTGCGCTGGCTAGAATATTCTTCAAGAGGACAATGAGTTTAGATTGTGGTTTAGAAATCTAAGTTTATTATGACAACATGATACTTGAGTTTTTATTTTTTTAACATGACACTTTACACTTCGATAGTACATTTGGTATTTCTCTGGTTTAAACTGTGATCATATTCTGTAGCAATGCTAAAAATGTTCTCTACAGGGTTCGAGGGGCTATCAGTGAGGAATATCTAGGACACAGCGATTCCATCAGAAGTATTTCTGTCCACCGGCTCTGCGCGGGGGATGCACGGATGTGGGCACATCCTCCTTCTGTCCCTCTCCGTCTGCCCGCCCCGCTCTGCCCCGGGAGACCGACCCTGGCCTTCTGGCTTCCGCTTGGGTCGGCTCCCCTGGGCTTCCTCTGTTCCAGAAGGGCCCCAGTAAGGGGTCAGGTCTGCGGGGATGGATGCAGGGGGTGGGGCTGGAGGGCGGATACTGTGCGATTTCCTTCTTTTTCTTAGATCCTGCTCTCCTCTTTGTAAATAGTCCCTTTGTTAAACTTGCTCCAAAGTATTACTTTGAGGGGCCAGGGCCCTAACAGAAGAAGATACAGAGCCATCATCAAGGAACTCATTCTAGCCGAAGAGACAGACCTGTAACAGCTAACTCTACATGAAGTGAAAACTTCCAGTAAATTCCCATGGGAAAGATGTCAGGGCGTGGAGGGCGGGAGAGGGGGTGGGGATGATGGGTCTTACCTGGAAAGGGAGAGATGCGGGGTGGGGTGGGGTGCAGTGGGGATGGGTGGACGGTCTTCACCCAGAAGGTGGCATTTGGGCTGCTGGGGATCCAAAGAGGGTGGTGTTTTATTTATTTATTTATTTAGCTGTGCTGCGTCTTCGTTGCTGCTTGCGCTTGTTTCTCTAGTTTCGCGGGGTGGCGGCTCCTCTCTAGTTGCGGTGATTGGGCTTCTCACTGCGGTGCCTTCTCTTCCTGCAGAGCTCAGGCTCTAGGGTGCGTGATCTCAGCTGTTGCGGTTCCCGGGCTTTGGAGCAGAAGATCAGTAGTTGTGGTTTGCAAGCTTAGTTGCTCCGTGGCGTGTGGGATCCTCCCGGATCAAGGATCGAACCCGTCTCTCCTGCATCGGCAGGCTGATTCTAACACCTGAGCCCCTAGGGGAGGCCTCCTTGCCTCTTTACTGACCTCAGGATCTCAGAGATCTTGGCCTGTTTGGGTGAAGATGGCGGCACAGACAGGAAAGAAAGAGGAAACTCCCGGAGACCGCATCACTGTGGGATTTACAGAGTCCCCTCTTTAGAATAATGTTAACAGTGACATGAGTCACAAGCCAAGTCAAAAAGCCATGTGAGTCCTGAATTTGTCGCTAAATGACTGTGTGAAGTGAAGTGAAAGTTGCTCAGTCGTGTCCGAGCCTCAGACCCCATGGACTACACAATCCATGGAATTCTCCAGGCCAGAATACTGGAGTGGATGGCCTCTCCCTTCTCCAGGGGATCTTCCCAACCCAGGGTTTGAACCCAGGTCTCCCGCGTTGCAGGCGGACTCTTTACCAGCTGAGCCCCCAGGGAATGTGACTGCGTGGACGGAGGGATTTTCCTGACCTCGCGGTCTCCGCTCTTCCATCCGCCTCCTGCGGAAGACAGTTCCTGCCCTTTCCCAGTAGCGTTGCTATGCGGTTCTAGATGCAAGAGTGTTTGTAGATCTGTTGCTACCAAAGCCCTCAACCAGTGGGGCACGTGGGGTTAGCTAAGGATGGACTGGGGACAGCCATAAGCTGATAATAACAAGCTGATAATAATTGAAGCTTGATCATAGGACTGTTACAAAGATTAAGTGAGACGGTATTTATAGAGAGCACGGTACAGTGCCTGTGGAAAGTAAGTGCTGTGCTAATAACGTAAGCATAATGTTGAATATGCTGTTAGGCTCATTTCATTTACCTCTTAGCATCTTTGTCTCTCCCAATTCTGCGGTATTTCCTCCGGTCTTTTTTCTCTTTGATTGTATCTGATTTGTTATTTAACTGATACTTTGAGTTTTTAACTTTGGTAACTACATATTTCATTTTTAGCTCAGTTTAGATACTCCTGTATTTAGTGCCCGATCTTTCATATGGTTTCTCTTCCCTCTTTTTAACTTTTTAATGATTTAAACACAGTTATTACATAGTCTCCTTCTAATATTTCAGTTTGGTGGGGAACACACACATAGTTTCCTTCTGATAATTCATTTTCTTCTGCGGTTTTTAGCTTTTCACTGTGAGCTCATCCTTAACCGAGGTTGTTTTCCTTTGTGGGTGTCCCATGAGCCCCGTAGGAAAATGTCCCTATATTTTTGCATTTTCTTTTGCCAAGTGCTCCATGGGTTTTACTAACGTGGGAACCATTTTTGTGTTAATTATACAGTTTATGAGCCCATAAACGAGGACTCTACACTTTGTAAGGGCTTCAGGATTGGATTTGTATTATCACAGAACTTTTGGGGGGTTCATTTATTAGATTTTTATTTTAAAATCAGAGGCTTTTCAAGAAACAAGCCGCTAATAGAGTTTTTGTAGAACTTTTCTGGGCCTTAGCTGTATACGGTATTTCCAACTTTCAGCTCCCTCCTTGGCAGAGCTTAAGACCACATCACAATGCCCTTCCTGGAGCATTAAAATCTCTTTTGGACCTTTATTCAGGTCTATGTCTCAGGGGCCACTAGAGGCAACTTGTAATCCTCTCACCCTGCCAAGACTTTTCTGCTTTTGTTAATAACTCACAAAATCCCTCCCCCCCCAAATATTGGCTATATGTTTAAATTCTTAGTTATATTTTATGTATTTGTAGGTGGCGAAGTGAAGTGAAGTGAAGTGAAAGTCACTCAGTCGTGTCCCAACTCTTTGCGACCCCATGGACTATACAGCCCATGGAATTGTTCAGGCCAGAATACTGGAGTAGGTAGCCTTTCCCTTCTGCAGGGGATATTCCCAATCCAGGGATCAAACCCAGGTCTCCCACATTGCAGGCAGATTCTTTACCAGCTGAGCCTCCAGGGAAACCCATTTGCAGGTGGGATGGGCCCATTTTAGTTCAAATGCCCACGTTGCTGGAACCAGCAGTCTGTCAGTTAACATCCTATAAATCAGGGGTCCCCAGCCCCCAGGCCATGGACAGTATTGGCCAGTGGTCTGTTGGGAAGTGGGTCACGCAGCCGGAGGTGAGTGGTGGGCAAGTGACTGAAGCTTCACCTGTGTTTACAGAGGCTCCCCATGGCTGCCATCACCACCTGAGCTCTGGCTCTGGTTGGATCATCGGTGGCATTAGATTCCTGTAAGAGCATGACCCCTTCTGGGAACTGTGCTAATGAGGGATCTTGGCTGCATACTTCTTATACGGAAAAATCCCAAACCACCCTTTCCCTGTTCCATGGAAAAATTGTCCAACTTTTTGCAACCCTATGGAATGTAGCCTGCCAGGCTCCTCTGTTCATGGGATTCCCCAGAATACTGGAGTGGGTTGCTATGCCCTCCTCCAGGGGACCTGAGCTGAAAGTCTCAGCCCAAAACCCTGGAATGGGATGTCTGCACTGCTTGGGGAGTGTTGGATTCTGACCAGCAGCTGTGGTCAGGAGCTTCAAAAATGGCAGACAGACTGCCCCGACTTGTTCTAAACCTTGGTAGATGTCTCTGATGGACTGTGGTGTTCTCTTCCTCTAACCCTTTGCAACCTAGAGCTCCAAGCAGACTTGACTACTAAATTGGCGTAGGCTTGCTCGCTGAAACTGACTTGTCATCCCTACTCTCATCTTTTTCTTCCCAGCCTGACATTTTCATTGGATGGCATCAAATGAACCGGCTTGCGGAAAATTCAGCTCTTGTATGAGAGGACTAGGCTTTAATTAGGGCTTTCAGTAATTAAACTCCTTAGGCAACAGTCTTTGCATTTAAGTATTATATTAGTGAAGAAATTTGTTCTCATAATATAGTGCTGGGCAAACAAAGATGCAATTCTCACGGAATCGTGGCTTGTGGAGAAAGAAGGAGTAAATATGTGTTTGGATGTCCCTTTAGCCCCCTGGCAGAAGCATGGTGCAGTTACTCATAACACATGCAGTGATAATATTGTTTTTCAGTTCTGAGTAATGGTGTTATTTGCATCTCCTTTGGGAGATTTCCATAACCTAATGGAGCTTCACAACATTTGGCCCTAATTATCTTTCACTTAATTTAATTCATTTGATTTAATTTAGATTGCTTGGCACCAAGCTAAGTTATTCCTCCCTTTCCTGCGAGTAGACAGCAGTTATTGGAAGGCAGCTATGACATCCGTCTCAAATGTCACAACTGGGTTACAGATTCTTTGAGGTTTGCATTACATCATCTGCGCTGATGTTTGCAGCTCTTTCCAGAATCACTTGCAACGTATCTACTTTAGGATACATCACGTCATGTAAAGAAAGTCAGATACGTTCTTGTCTCTTCGTCAACATGAAAAGTTTGCGTAGGTCCTTTGAACTTTGCCTGGAAAACCTTGTTTAACTTTTCATATTCTTCTCTTCATGTTAGTTTCTTCCATAACTCAGAGCAAGGACCGAGGGATCGCGGGTTATGAGAACAGGCCAGGAGGAGATGTGCTTGTGTGAAGATGCAGCAGATCACCCGGGGGACGCTGAGAATGCCTGGGGCTTTTTAATAATCTTCTCCTCTCTGGTTAATGCTCCTGCACGTGAGGAAGACGAAAGTTGCCCACGTCTGGGTAAAGAGCACAGTGACTGGCGTGGGACGCCCTGAGGCCAGGGGGACATTGAGGTGTCTGGGCCCGTCCTGGAACTGGCTGGGGCTGACCTCAGAGTGG